TGCTGCAGTAATTTTTGAGGCACACTCGAAAATCCCCACAAGGGTAAAAATCAAAAACTTGACAAAAATGACCGAGAGGCCTCTGTACCTCACACTAGCTGAACATAAAGTGACCAAACCAAGGTAGTTCCAAGAAAAACGAAAACCTTTTTTGCAACAAAGAAATAGCCAGATAAAAACACGAGCCCTTGATAAAATATGGATTGCCAACCATGAGCTGAATAAAGACATGAAGAAAAAGTTATATATTAAAGGAAAATAAAGTTAATATCAATAATTTATATAATTAATAGAATAAATAAAGTTAACGAGATTAATGAAAGTTATATAGAAATTTGCTTATCAAAACATTCAAAAATTAATAAATAACAACAATCTAGAGATATTGCGCATGACTCACTTGCCGGATCGATACGATATTTTTAAGACAATTATGCTTAGAAAATTCTACCTAAAAATTAAAATAGAGCAACATAAATTTAATGAGTTTAACTAAGTGACAATAGGCTCAATAATTACTGTTGATTAAATAAAATACAAAAATATATAATCAATTTATTAAAGTATATTTTGGGTTGCCTAATAGTTAATGTTAATAAAAATATAAATAAATATTTGACAGTTCAATTCAAAAATTTCTAACCTACGTATTTAGTATATAAACAGAATTAACGGCGGAAAGAATTATTTTATCTATTTCGGCTAAAATAAATATTAAATTGTATTAAATCAACTAGTTTTGTGCTGCAAAAAAATGTTATTAAGTGTGAAATATGTTTAGTTAAAAATAAGGATGGAATAATTACTTTTGTTAACATGTAAGTACGATTTATTTATTCTTGGTTTACTGAATTGAACTGATCGATATTTCAGACTAATAATAATATCAATTAGCGTTAAATTATTAAAGAAAAGAAATAAAATAGTTTAGTGAAATTTTCGCACGTTACAACATTTTATGAAACACCCTGTATATATTTTTAAAAAATCTTAAAATATGTAAAACAACGAAATAAAATATACGTGTTTAAGAGTTTTTCCGAAAAACTCACCGGTTTTTAAATAAAAAATATTCTAATATTTGAGGGTGGTTTCACCCCCTTAGAATTCGAGTTTCGAAAAATCCCTTCTTATCGAACCTTTACACCCTAAAGTCAATCCATTTTCCAAAAATCAGCTTTTTACGTCAAGGGCTTTAAGTAGGATCGTGATTAATCAATGACCAGATTTCTCAAAACACCCTGTATACATTTTTAAAAAATCTTAAAATATTATTCTGAAAATTAGTCAGAATAAATAAATACCTAAATATTGAAACTTAATAACGTACTGAAACATACAGCGCCATAATATCTCGACCTCCGCCCGTTATGCTCGTAACAGGTTGAAAAACAGTGTATTTAAAACAACTGATCCGTTATTCTCCAACCTGTTTCAAACCTCCATCGACAATCGACCGATGCAGCAGCATTCCTTTCCCACTCCGATTATTTCGACCGCCACCCTGTTATGCTCGTAACAGGTTGAAAAACAACGTATCTAAAATGATTGCTTCTCCAACCCGTTGCGAGCCTCCATCGACAATCGACCGATGCAGCAGCCTTCCTTTCCCACTCCTGTTATCTCGACCGCCAGGCGTTATGCCCGCAACTGTTTCAAAAAACCTGCGGTAGGATTCTGTAAGCTCCGTAGCAAGAAATTTCCTGTCTAGCCTATGCTATTTGTATACGATTGATGAGTCACTAGACAGAAAATATGTTTACAGAATCGCTAGCGTGCTTCTTTTATATCCTATTATTTTAAAGCTGTTGTAGGCCCAATACGACCGTCGACGGGATCGACCGAAGCAGCTACGTTCGCCGTAGCGCATTCCTCACTCCGTTGTCCGTTGTCTCACCGCCTGTATCGATGGTTGACGAAATAACAGAAGTGTCTAGTCCTAGCCGTCAACTATTAAGCTTGACCAATCAGGTTGGTTAGCGTGGTTATTTGGAGTGTGTTAATTCATTTGTGTTTGTCAAAAACTCTAACGTGATTGGTCGGGCTTAACAGTTGCCTGCTAGGGCTAGACACAAGTGAAATAACATGTTTTCCATCCATACTAGTTGTTTTTTGGAATTGCTTCGAGCAGCATATAATTTCGGGGCGGTGCACAGCGCCGACTTCGCTTTTCGTTTCACGAGCGGCCGATCTCTACGTGTCGTTATTTTATATCTGTTATTTTTTAGAACTAGTAACGGTTGCGTTATGTTATTTCTAAATAATTGTTATAAAATAACAGATAGTTAAATAACAACCCATCACTAGCAGAATCTTATTGGTCAGATTTGAATTTTAAACCAATTAAACTTCGAGTCCCATACGCGAGTATGGAATGTAAAACAGTGCCATGCGCACTTACGGAATGTACCGGGTAATTATGCTTGCAGCAGAAAGTAACGCCTGGCTATAGCTAATCTAGCAAGAGTAGCTGTGTATGTATGTGAACAAGAGGTCCGTGGTTCAAATCTCCACAACTTTTTTATTTTTTTTACAACTGTTTTTATTTTTTAAAAAAATCTGTAAATATTTAATAGTAATCAAAATACGGATTGCATTGGTTTCACTCTATTTGGTGAGGTTAGATTGATTATTTGGTGGAGTTAGTTGCGTTGGTTAAGATGGTTATTTGGTGGGGTTGATTGATCAAAAGGGGTTGGTTTGGTTTTGGTTGGAATGCTCTATAACAAAGCGTTATTAGTAATGTCTAAAAAAATTAACAGGATATTTGGCTGCTAGGGGAAGGCGTCTGCTTTTCTGCTGCAGCATAACTACTAGGTACATTCCGTAAGTGCATATGGCGCTGTCTTACATTCCATACTCGCGTATGGCACTCGATGTTTAATTGGTTTAAAATTCAAATCTGACCAATCGGATTGTGCTATAGGTGCCGTATACATGTACGGAATGTATAAATGCCTACCGTATCTGATAGATACCGTGTTTTCTGTCCTCTTCGAACAGGCCTCGGTTTTTATACCCAAAGACAGAGAGACCAGAATGTTCCGGTCTTTTCTTAGCCTCTGTTCTTCGTCTAGGTTAAAATGGGGGTGGGGCATATTAGTTCGAGGGTTGAGTCCGCAACATTATTTTCGGTGTTATCTGTTGCTGAAAAGTATTAGCATCTTTATTATCGTATTTTCAACACCCGGTATATTATTATTTTTTTGTTTAATTGTTTCTATTTTTTATCCATTATTATTTGTATTTATAATATGTTTAAGGACGTTGATATTCGCCAAAAATTTTGCGAATGTGAAGATCAAAAACTCTTCGAAAATTAGCCCAAACACTTACATCACTAATCCCTGTACCTAAATCCTATTTCCGGTTTCTTGAGTAGAGCCCTTTAAAAATTGAAGGGCCCAGCAGAAAACATGATAAGTGCCATTTTACTAATTTTACAGGAAAACTCTAGACGGCTATTGGTTATCAGGTTTATTCCCTGTATTTATCTACAGGGTGTGTCATACAGGGTGCGTCACAAAAGTGGCTCACTCCCTATAACTTTTTTATTTTTTCAGATAAATAAACGTGATTTGGTATGTTAGTATATGACATAAATGTCATTGATTGACGTATTCAATTGTTTCCGGTCACTTCCTGTTTCACCGGAAATGACTACAACTTTTGATTTTTAAATGGCATCCTCGGTATTTTTTTACTTTATTCGATAGAAAATGACACTCTGAATCGAATGACATATCATATGTCAACTATTGACATATTCGCTCAAAAACAAATTGTATTTTAAATTTCAATCTAGAGTGCCATAGCTGTGTTAAAAACAATAATTTTTAATCAAGGAGCCTTGGAAAAATAGATTTGATCGTCTAATGTTTTTAGTGTCTTGTCCTGGCCGGTTAAAAGATGCCAAAATCGTATTTTTAATCATAACTTAATTTTTTCAAATGGAACGAGGGTGGCTCATTAAAAATCAAAAGTTGTAGTCGAGTGACCGAAAACAATTGAATATGTCAATCAATCCTAACTTATGTCATATACTAACATACCAAATCTTTAAATTAGCTGACATTTGTCGAAACCCCCTTCTCCCTCACGTGAGATTTGTTGTGTCACTTCCCTCTTTATAGATTCTCCCACGTAATTAATGGATGCCCCCTTAGCACTGCGCAGCTTTAGATATTTATCTTAAGCGGCGTTCACACTGGGCTGGTTTACTAGCCGCTAGTTGCTGTTAGGCTGGTAATAGCGTAGTGTGAATCCCTAACCACGCTGTTTTTACTAGCCGAGGAATAAAATTACCAGCAACCAGTCCGAGCTGGCTGAGTAGCCCATCTTCAACTTTACCAGCCGCCAGCGCATTACGTGACCCTCGGTTCTCTATTAGCATGATACAATTACAGATATCGCTATTAGCATGATACAATTCCAGCGCTAATATTCAAAATGTGTGTGAACCCAAAACAGCGACTATTGAAACAGATTCGTAGCAGCTATTAACAGCAGGCTGCAACCAGCGGTTAGCAAACCAGCCCAGTGTGACCGCCGCTTTAAGGCGAATTCTGACGACTCGTGTGTAAACAACATTTTTTTGCAACAAGCTCGGCGCTCACGCGCCGCGACGAGTGACAAATAATTGTACAAGGAAACCGCTCACACGACGTGGCAAGTATATGCCAACAACCAATGTTTCTACAAGTATACGAGTCGTGAGAGTTCGCTTTAAAGGTGGATTCTCACGACTCGTGTAGTTGACAAACATTTGTATATTGGAATATACTTGCCATGTCGTGTGAGCGGTTTCTTTGTGCAATTATTGGCCACTCGTAGCGCCGCATGAACGCCGAGCTTGCTGCAAAAAAACGTCGTTTACAAAGATAGCATACTTGCCAAGTACGCAAATATTGGCGTACTTGCCAAGGTACGAGTCGTGAGAGTCTGCCTTAAGAGTAGTATCTGTATCTGTAAATTTTTCTAATAAGTTTTTTTCTTTTTAGAAGATATCTGATATTGAGGCAATAAGGTCATATCGTTATCTTCAATATTTGGATGTATCCGGAAATCAACTGACCACCCTAAAACCATTAGAAAACTTACCATTTTTAAAGTACTTAGATGCCTCTCGTAATTTGTTATCCACTGTTTTGGACTTTAAAGCCCCGTTTTTTTTAACTGTGGCAAATTTATCTCGCAACAAGTTTGAATTTATACCCGACCTCGCTGATTTTTGGTCCATCACAGATCTAAATTTGTCACACAACAGAATAGAAGTTATTGACGGATTAACAGAATTAAAGTATGGTCTATACAGGGTGGCGCCTCTCATACGCCGCGCGCCATGGAGGCTCCACCGAGAACGACAGTTTGTATTGAAATGAAATTTTGTGAGCATATGTAGGTTAATTCAGATCACTTTTTAAAAATATAGAGATGAGTTCTACAGGGTGTCCCCGAAAAAAGTTACATATCAAAGTTGTGTTTTTTGTACTGGAACACACTATATATTAATTGATTTTCGGATTTTGGGAGAAAAATAAAGGTCAGTTTTATAAGAGAAGTATATGACTAAAATGTAAGGTGTTTGACATATTTAACATTTTCTAGAAATAAAGAACAATTTTTAAATTACAATAAAAGCTACCTAAATTGGAATTCACCCGGTATAGCCTAATATGTAGTTAAATTAACTATTGTACTTTAAATCAAATTAAAACTTGATCCAAAAAGTTATACAGGGCGAGACAAAATTAATATTGAACATTGGCCACCTTTAAAAGCATGTTACTCTTTTATTTTAAATAGAACACCTAATATATTATTTCGATATTCATTGGAGAATTTATGTCCCTTCAAAATACTATTAAGGTTGCCTACCCCTCAAACGAAGATTTTCCTAGATATTTTCATTTACATGACTTGATCTGAGTAGATCTTTATTATTTGATAAAATCTAGGTGGCTGTGATATGTCTGACTTTACTTCAACATAGCTGTCTAATTAGTCCAACATTAACAAATAGTTATTATATTCTGTCAGTTAAAACAAAAAAATTTCCCAGAAATTTGCCGAAAATCCACACTTATCCTACATTAGAGAGAATTGATATGATTCTATTAGTTGGTGAATGCAGTGTGCAGTGTAAGTGAATACTTAAATGCTCTTGATTTTATCTAGACTGTTTTTTTAATGGGGATATGTTAAAGACAGTGTTTTCAAAACTCGACCACTTATTGTCGACAACATGAGAGAAATTATTGTAGCTGCTTTTCGAGGTAGAACTCCACATAAATGCCTTTTAAAATGAAAAGATCCTTTTGAAAAGACAATCATTTTATGCAGTTAACAGGAAAGGAAGCATTTTGAGCATTTGATTTCATCTAGCTAATTTTTGTCACATAACTATAGGTTTATACCAAGTTTTAATTCTGTAATAATTAATATATGTTTTAAACGCGTATCTTTTTATTGCAATCTTTAATTTTTGTTAAATTAACAAAAGGTATATCACACAGCCACCTAGATTTTTTTCAAATAATATCTAGGTAATAAGATCTACTGACGCAAAATCATAAAAATTAAAATATCTAGGAAAATCTTTGTCTGAGGGGTAGACAACTTTAATAATATTTTGAAGGATAAATATATTCAAGCATAAATTCCCCATTGAACACCGGAAAAATATACTGGGTGTTCCATTTAAAACTAAGGTGTAACTTGCTTTTAAAAGTGACTAATGTTCCATATTAATTTTGTCTCACCCTGTATAACTTTTCTGGTCAAATTTCAATTTGGTGTAACATACAATGGTTACTGCAATTAAATATCAGGCTATACAAGTTTAAACTAAAATTTAGGTAGCTGTTATCGAAATTTAAAATTTACTCTTCAAATATGTCAAAATCCTTAGATTTTAGATATAGGCTTCTTTAATAAAACTCACCTTTATTTTTTTCGTAGAGTCCGAAAATCAATTAATATAGGGTGTTCCATTAGAAAAAACATAACTTTGATGTGTAACTTTTTTTAAGGACACCCTGTATAATTCTATATATTTTTATAAAATGCTTTCAGTTAACCTACATATGCTGCCAAAATTTCATTTCGATATAAACTACCGTTTTCCTCGGAGCTTCCGCGGCGTATGAGAGGCGCCACCCTGTATTATAAACGTTTATGCATACAGTATAATTAATTCCTTTTAACCGGCTTTCCGTAGATTCTATAGACATTATGGAAGGCAACCTTTAAGGAATTCAACATTTGTATCATTTTTTCATATCACCTTTACTTTGGTTACAACCTTTTTACCACCATTTTAATAGTATACTTATGTTAATGCAATCATGTTATTAATCCAATCTATACAGCGTGTCTCAATATGTCTATGTTGACGGAATACCGTTATTACTACATATTTTTGGTGTGAAAATATGTTTATTGGGTACAATTATTTACCTCTATACAAAAGTTACAAATTTGCCGTTAGAGGGCATCCGACTTTGAAAAAATAACACATTTTTTAAGATATTTTAAGAACCGTTATTCCGATTTGATTGAGATTTGGTGTGCCTATGTTTTGCTAAGCGCTTTAACATTTGACTTTCTCAAAATACTATGAAAAGTACTGGAAGGATGAAAACTACACCTACCGGTACATACATTTTAGTAGAAATATTTTACAACTCCACCGACGGCTGATTTTTATTTTGTAAAATGGTCCTTCTTGTATTTTGTATTTATTACATATCTCGTCTCTTGTAAAAAACGCCATATCGCATAGTTTTTGAGAAAAAATATTGTGAAAATTTTTGTCTCCAAAGCAGGCACCTACAAAACATACAAGAAGTTTCAATATTCCGTGGACATAGAACAACTACATATTTTTTGAATCAAAATAAGTTAATTGCACACTAAGATTGTACACAATTTACCTCTATGAATACAAAAGTGTTATTAAATTTAAAATAGTAAAATAAAGGAATTAAGAAATCATGTAAATGACTTCTAGGGCTTGCCCTCGATAAAATTATCATTGATTGTCATTTCCCAGCTGTCTTTGACGCCGTTTTTTCCGATAGATCTGATATAATGCCTTTATATTTGACAAGAACGGTTTGAGAAAATTAGTTCATATTATGCTCATGCATAATGCATATACCGACATTTTACGATTTTTTAAGTTCTTTTATTGAAAAAATTGTTGTTTGCTAGCCACGAAATAATCGGTTAAAAGGATTATACTGCACGTATGCCCTCTTAATTCATTTTGCACAAAATATTCTTTTGCAGGTATCTAAGCACATTGAATCTTTCAAATAATAGAATAACCCATCTACATAATTTGGACAATTTAAGAATTCAGTTTCTATATCTCCATTATAATAATTTACGTTTTAAAGTGTCAGATTCGGATAAGTGTATTCGAACTCTTACATTTTTAAGATCGATTAATGTCAGTCATAATAAAATTGAATCCACTAAAGTGTTCGAGAGACTCGAGAATTTAGAGTGTTTGGAAGCTACTTATAACGAAATAAATCAGCTTTTGGACGTGTACTATTTAAGAAATTTGAGATTCTTATTCAAACTAAATTTAACAGGAAATCCCGTTACTGAAAAAAGGAAGTATGTTTTAATTAACTGCATTCAATTAAAAAATGAACTTTTATCTCAGTGATACAAATTACCTATAACAGATGCGAAAGAACACCGAATTACGCGTTCAGGTTTCTGTGACCTTCAGAAAGAGTTCATAGACAATCAGCATCAATGTATAGTTTGGGTTATTATTTGTTTGGGTAAAAATACTCTGCACCAATATGTTATCGAGGCATACAAAAAGGTCCACAGACTTCGAGACATACGAAAAATCAAGTCCATTTAGCGTGTGTCGCAATTTTCACACCTTAAAAAATTAGTTTTTTTATAGCTATAGCAACTGCAACGACTATGAAAAAAGCTGTGTGATTTTCATAGAAAATAAGGGCACCTGTAATTCATTTGAGAATGTTATAAATCGCTAAAAGAGGTTTCAAATATCTTGGATTTCTATTAATATTAAATAAATTTTATTAAAAATTTAACTAAAATTGTTAGTATCATTAAAAACAATTCAAATTCAAAAATTGTATCAGTCAAATTCCCTCATTTAAGGTGAATATTAAAGTAAATATAAATACAGCTCATTCTAAGCTCTACTTATCTTTAAGAAAAATTTAAATCATTGTTGCAATTGGGCCTTAATGCCATTTCGAATGAACAATAGTATTAATAATGTACATTATAATAATAATAAATTTTATATCATAGTGTGTATTAAAACTACTAAAACACTTTTAAATTGGTATTATATTAACAACTTTTGTTTTTTAATCCAAAAAAAAGTTACCAATTTTCTCAATCAAAATATTTGTGGTCCTGAAAAGGACCTTCGTTTTCCCATGTTCGTCAAGGTAGGTAATGGGTAAACGGTAAAAAAACAGGATAATGAAATTTAAAAAATTACAAAAATTGTTCAAAAGTGCCTCCCTCTTGCATTAAACAATAACCCAAACGATCATAAAATCCCCTCCTCACATTGGATAACATATCAGGGGTGACAGTGTCAAAGGCATTAAATATTTTCTGCCTTAACTGCTCCAAGTTTTGAATTTCTTCATGGCCGTAAATTTTAGATTTTATGTACCCCCATAAAAAGAAATCATTCACCGAGAAGTCAGGTGAAATTAAACGTCAGTCTAAACAAAACTGTCATTTTTGAAAACTTGTCAAAATTTGGACACACGCTAAATGGACTTGATTTTCCTATGTCTCGAAGTCTGTGGACTTTTCTGTATAATCTCACAGTAATTTAATAGATTGCTCGTCATATTATATCAGCTCGTAGGAGATTAGGAAAAAAAAGATATTTATAGTATAAAAAATTAATTTATTTAACAAAATTTAATTAAAGATGTGACAAAATAGTTACATTTCTATTGGTTCTATCGGACTTTTTTCGACTATATAAATCTTTATTTTTTGTAAACTTTAATGCATAAAATATTGTTACGGATTCCGTGGGTCCACTATTTAAACTCACGATAAAATACTTAACGAATTTATTTGTTTCACTCTGTACACACAACTTATACTATTTACAACACAACTTATGCAACTACTATTACTCTAACGGTATTTCGCGGTATTATCAAACTTCAGACTATCTTCAGACTTCAAACTTCAAACTTCAAACTTCAAACTTCAAACTTCAAACTTCAAACTTTAAACTTCAAACTTCAAACTTCAAACTTCAAACTTCAAACTTTAAACTTTAAACTTGTCCAACTGTCAAAGCGCGGGCCTTATATACCCCCTGGCGGTTGTTTCTAGATTTTTCTAAAGAATTCTATAATTTTCTTTACTTTCTGGCGAATGCGCCAGGTTCCTCAATGCACGCCGCGACTTTTTAGCAGTTATGCAACCAGTAATACACCTTGACAATATTTTCAATCTAATAAATAATTTAATGATGTAAATAAGAGGAAATTTCTCACATGGGTGGTCAAATTCTATAGTTTTCATTATATCAAACAGCCTCTGAATGTTTTCTTCAGTGCAAAACTCATCAAAATTTAATATAAATAATTTATCCAGACTGTAAATAAAATGAACAAATTTTTCCACTTTCATGATCAAAGGCTTTTAAATGGGTAAATAATTTCGAGTTATCCGCGACTTTTTAGCAGTTATGCAACCAGTAATACACCTTGACATTGCCCCCTTCTCAAATTTGATCGTCCCGATCATAGATTTAGTAAGAACAGATATCACATTAGACATTTTAACCCGATCAAACAATCGGAGGTTGACTACGTACTGTAAAAACCAACTGAGATAGAAAAGGCGACATTGCCACATCCCAAATTTGCGCCTATACTCAGTTTGATTTGCAGAAAAGGTGACTTTAAAACCTTTACCGGATATCAATAAATCTCAATTTCTTAATTAAATTAATAGTTTATTTTTAAAGAAGCATGCGTAATAATATGTTATTAACCAGAGGATATATGCGTTACTATTAAAGGACATGTTTACTGTTTAATGTGCTGAAACGTCTAGAACTATTGGCAACGTCGCTGCTAGTCTTTCAGAATGAAATGAGCCGTCCGTCCCACCACCCCTCGCGACGGCCATTGGTCCGTTATAGCGTACTACGTTTAGCTTGCGGTGTGTTTGAAGTCGGAATCAAGACGAAAGTGAACTTTCAGTGTTTTTCGGCGGTTTTTGTTTTTGTTTAACGTACTTTTGAATCTGCGAATTCAGTATGGTACGACAGTGTCAAGTGTGTAGAAAAATAAGCTGAAATTACCCGAATTTGTCTTTTCACAGGTGGGTATTGTTTTCGTCATTGTACATAAGCGTCCCACAAGGGAGCCTCTCACAATCAAAATAATTTCTAATTATATTTGTAATTAATCTATTAAAACAAGAACGTAGTAGCCAGTAATTGAATTATAATTCGTCTCAATGACTACCTACCTACCTGTTGTAGATCATAACAAATTTGAATATAAACGTTGCATTTGAAATTTTCTTATAAGCCAGAAAGTGACAATTTTTTCTTAAAATTGCGTCATTTCTGGTCATTATATACGATATTCTAAAGGAATTTTGCTCAACAAATAAACAAAGGTGTTACCCGACCTTTTTTACATTTTATTGCTTTATTATATCTGCCCCTTCGGCCTTGTTTAACAATTTTTTACCACTGTTCAAATACCTCTTCCTAGAGTTATTTGTACGGTGTGTTAACCTTTTTTTTAGAATGGGACGAACTGTAAATAATTCTTAGACTACTAGTTTTATACATACCTATACACAGAGTGACCCAGGCCTCCAAAAAAGCTTTTTACCTATTACTACTAGCTGCTCTCGCCATCTAGCACTCGCCATAGTAGTACGTTTTGTACTCAAATGCTATTTTCTGCTTTTAGGCTTTTCGTTTGTCGGATTGAGGGTTACAGCAAAGTCGGCCTGACGATGGAGATAAATCTACGAAACCGGTCGTCGAATGACTGTTCCCTTCAGTCTGTTGAACATAATGCAGAGAATAAGCATATATGTAGGGGTTAGACCTTAATAATTTTTTGCTTCTTGTATTTTTTTTTATTTATACAAACCCTACCAAGCCTTGAGCTCCATCTACGGTAACGTAGATGAAGCAAACGTAATTCATTATTATGCGACAGAAATCCCATACTGTAGCACACAGGTTTGATACTTTTAATGAATCAATTTTCAATTTTCTCATTAAATATTGATTTTAGGTATAGGAAGTTATTAATAATACAAGATTAAACAACTATTACACAGTACTTCACAGGAAGCTATTGATTGCGAACTAAATAAATCGTTACTAATTACTAATTTTGAAGTTCTTTTTAAGATCAAAAATGGTAAAACTAAAACCTAAACTATCATTTCAGATTAAACGGGAAGTTCTAAATAATGTTGCCTATTCTAAACAAGAAAAATGTATTTATAAGTTTTATAACATCTCTAATTAAATTTGGACGAAAAAAATATTTCTGTTTGCTGTAGGTAATTTTCTCAGGGAAAATACGAAAATAAAAATGACTTTTTAAGTCAAAAAAAGTCAAAGGACAAGTTATTCCAAAAAAGGACAGGTGGCAACCCTAGGTATTTCTGGAATGGAAATTTAATGGCAAATCTACAGCCTTAGTTTGAAAATATGTTCCGGCCACCTATGTTTACAAAAATGTCTAAAATGTGCTTTACCATTGCCTCCATATTCTGAAAAAAAATTGAAAGAAAAGTCACCAACCACAAACCTAATATAGAACTGTTTCGGAAGCCTGAGTCACCCTGTGAATATTTAAAAGTAACTGAAAGTTTATATAGAAGTAACTGAAAGTTTAAATTGAAAATCGACGTTGGAGCGATTTTCGAAAATCACCTAACGTTTCAACATAGGTATATGTGGAATATTAATTATATTATTATATTAGACCTTATAACAAAACTCATCTAACGAAAAAGTGTTAATGTAGTATATTAATATGGAGTATAAATTTTACTAATTTATTTACTTTTACTTTACTAATTAAATGCTTTCCAAAAAACGATACGCCACTGGCCATTAGAACAATCGAAATGCGCCTAGTTGCCGGGGTCGGAAATTTTACACTTCTCTGTCTCTTCTGTCCTTGTTTGACACATTGGAATGTTTGATACACTACCAACCAGTATTTATGAATGAGATGTTCGGTCTATCTTTATAATGTCTTTGGTCCCGATCAAGGTTTCCTGTCTGGTATCTCTTCAATCGATCCAGATGAACTACTTTCATCTTACTTCTAGGGCTGCGTTGAATCCGGTACACAACATCATTTATCCTCTTGATGACTGTATAAGGACCTTCCCATGCTGGAGTTAACTTTGGGGACCTTCCTTTCTTGCGCTGTGGGTTATATAACCATACCATATCGTCCTGTTGAAATCCCGTAGAATTAGCTCTGAGGTCGTAACGAGCTTTCATCCGGTCACTGGCTAGCGTAATCTTACTTCTCACGGCCTTATGAATTCCCAATAACCTTTCCTTCAGTTCATCCGCGTAGTCCTCT